GCTTCGTTCCAGTTACGCGAATGAATTATAGAGCGTATTGTGATCGATGTTTGCAATTCTGATCAGTTGCAATTTTTCAAATGGACGAAAACTAATTTTTCTAGCTTCTCGAAAGAATACAATGGTTTAGAAACTTTTCATTTTTCGTTTCCTTTTCTTGGTAACATTATGGCTAGTATTTAATGTCACTGATTGCAAAATAAGAACGAGAACATCTAATATTGCAAATAACCAGGAATCTGATAATAATAAAACATGTTTTACTTATATTAATATATTTCTACTTTTAATACTTTTAGAATCTAAGTTTCTAAAATTACTTCTGTAATAAATCATTCATTTAATAAAAAGATTTTTAAATATATAATCATATTGTAAAATCAATATTCTCCTCCTTTCGGTGGATAAAAAAATGTTGGTCCAAAAATTCAATTTAAGAGGAAAGAAGTATGGCTTATTAGAGAGTCTAAAATGCATCTGATATTCCGCATCTGTAACGATGCTATACAGTCCAATGAATATCTTGATCGTGTGAACCGCATATTGGATTTTCGTACGTTCATTAGAAATTCCACACGCGATGCATTTCTGCTGCACATTGCACCGAAAGGAGTCTCGATTCCGAGCTGCATTGCCCCTCCCTTTTTTGAGAAATTATCATCACTGTATGATTCCAATGAGATTAGTAAACGTATACCAAGGATAAAATCTTATATTCTTATATTCTCCAAATCTTATTGTATTCAAAATGTTGGTCAGCTTACCACGAGAAAATTTCTAAATAATTCTCCGACAAAACAAAAGTACAAACACGAGAAATCCCCATTCAAGAGTATCGAAGCACATACATATTCCAAGTGAGACACGAGACAGTCGCGAGTCCCTTGGCGTTTCGCTTGCCGAGATTGAGTGCAAAGTTCGACGAGTTCTTTCACGTGTATCGACGCGTGCATCTTCTTTTCTTTGGACGGTTATCTTTCGGGAAAGTTTCGACTGTAAGAAAGATTGCAACAGCGACGCAGAAGAGCACTTCTCAGTAAAATACGTCGACATCTTTCAACGGTGAATTGATTTCTCACCCATATCTTCATCGTCCATCGCTTCTCAATGTTAAAATTAAATATTTAAATTATTTGCGAAGCGTTAAATTTGTTTGTCTTTCTATTGTTAGTTTGTTAAATTGTATTTTTCGTAAAATAGAGCTTTTCAGTAATAATGTTGTCAAATACCCAAATATTCGGGTATCCGAGTCTCGGGGGCGGATCGGGTCGGATGGAATAATAATCGGGTCGAGCCAGGTGTCGGCTTGGATCGGATAATATCTGGGTCCGATCGAGTAACGATCGGGTCGGACCGATAATGATCGATTCGGAGTGAAATTGTTCAAGTCGGTCGGATCGGATTTAGTCGAGCGAGATCCCGAAATTCTTGCACCCAACAATCCAATTTTGTATCGTTATTCAGTGTATTTTAATATCAATATTTTTCACCGTTTGGTTTGCGACCTTCAACCAGATAAAAATAAATTACTCCTTTGATAATACCCTAAGCATGTTATTGCAAGACTCTATTACTTCCTGCTTATATTTTAACTTTGTTTTTTAATGTCGCTGCATTGAACCTTACTCTCTTAACAATATAGTTAAAGTTTCTATAGAATGGGGAAAAAATATAAAGCTAAAGTTGAGAAATAAATTATTATTAAGAAATCCTTGCCGGACATGAACTAAAAAAGTAATTGCTTTCATCTAAAAATTTATAAGACTCATAAAAGGAAATTATATTTATTACAGGAAACTATTTTATTTTTAACTTTGTATCTCCACTGTAATTTCAGAGGGGTTGTAAATATTAGGTCCCATTCCCATTACAGTTTTTACCGCGATAAAATTGCACGTGGTTTCTTTGAGATAGACTGAAAGCCACGGGGGAAATCGATAAATGCAGGTGGCACGTACTTCCTTGCTTTCAAGCCTCGGTTGGTTTCAAGATCAGCAAAATGTCACGCGAGAAGACACCTTTCACTTTTTAGACACACGTTACTTTCCACCTCTGACCTTTGACCGAGTCGTGGAAATTAAAATTTAACACCCTGCTGGCTAGGGAAGTGATTAACGAGATCGTTTAACCCTCGGAGGGCGAAGCCGAATTTTTACTAACTCAACCTATGGTTTAAAGATTACATTCTTCGGTATTGTCATTTTCTAAATTTTACACTATTTTTTTTAGATATTATTTTACTAATATGTAGAAGTTACTTGAAAATTTTTGTATTTGATGGTGTGAACCCCTAATCTTTGAATTTTATCCCTGTTTTAAATTGAATTATGTAGACCTATAATCTTTGCTCCATCGATGCATAATGATTCTCAAAATTTATCTAAAATATTCTGAAATTAATGATTGACAATTTTCAAAATTTATCTAAAATATTCCGAAATGGAATTTTAGATACCAAGAATCATTCGAAATAGATGAAATACGAGAGGTATCACGCGAAGAGGATCGATCGTTCGGTGGTGGATGGGAATTGTCACGATAGAGTACCTTTACACGTGGACATATTGAAAATATCGTGATTTTTACGTAACCCAGACCCAGCTATAAATTAGCATCGATCCTCCACGGACGCGGAAACCGCGTAAATATAGCGATCGATCGATCGAACATTTTGCAGCTCGTTGCTGTGTATGATGCACACTAGATAACTAAGTAGAGTAGGTCAACGGTAAGCCTTACCTTACCGTACCGCTATCTATCAGCTGTCGGCGGGCTTCGCTTTTATCAAACTGTTCGCGAGCCTCTTGGCGGCCATTATTTTCCCACCGCCTTTAAATAAACCTCGACTTATCTGGGACTTCCGTATCTCATGGAGCAACGACCGGAGAGGAAAAAGCCGTAGGCTTCGAGACTTTCGAAAGCCACGTTCCTCGGTTAGGTCGCTTTTAACGGCTGACCTTAATACCCTGTTCATCCCTGATCGTAGACGCACGCTAATGGACACGCTAAAGGACAATATCACTTTGTTATAACGTCTACGCGGAGGATATTGTTTATAGTGATCATCATGAATATCCTCGTCCAACGGCGCATCCATAATTGTCCAACAGGGGGTCAACAGAAATTTTTGAAAATAGTCCAAAGTATTTATTATTAATCTAAAATTACATGTATCATTTTTAAAGGGACAGTGTAAAATTGACAAAATGAAAATAATGTGAAATAGAAAATTAAATTAAAATTGTGGCTCTCTCCCTGGTCCGCCGTCAGAGGATTAATAGGTATTCAATGGACTATTTTGACCCCACCTTATTGCACTACTCGACATATTGAAAAAGGAACATCATAGAACAGAAACAATTAATTTATTTGAACACATTTCTCGATGAAATTCTCCGTAAACGGTCCATAAAAATTCCGGAAACGCCTCTCGTTTGTTTACAAGAAAGTTCCTTTGACACCGTGGCCCGAGAAACATACTCGCCCCAACGACAAAGGGGGATGAAATTCACGGCATGTCCGTTTGCTTGATTACTTTCCCGTTAGTCGACAAAGGAGAAAAATAAAGAGAGACATGGAAGAGAAATCAAGGGATTATTTTAAATTCTACTCAGCCTCCGTTATTAAATAACGGCCGCAAGAAGAATGCGAACCGCGATTCCGTGCAAATAAATCCTGGATGGCTCTTACGTTTGAAATATTCCGAAGAAAGAATCCTTTCTCGCCGTCCTTTTCCTCGGGACTAAACTGAATCTCTCTCGAGAACATGGAAACAGGGAGCTTCCCGTCGATGGAACGCGAGCTTTATTTCGCGAGCTTGGTATCTCGACGAAATAATTCATTCGTGGTTACCGAGCGAAAAATTCAAGGGTGTCGCTATGATCTTGAAGAATGAGAGACGAAAGTTGGAGTAAATTGAGCGAGACATATCTTGAAAGATTTCAGCTGCTTTAATGGGTAATTAAATTATTATCATCAGACAAAATGATCTATCCTCAAATTTTATTTGGTATCAGCGAGAATTTTTGATTTGTTCTTGGAATTTTATTTAGAATTTGATTCTAAAATTGCAAGTTTTAACCCTCGAGCAGCGGAGACATAAACAAAACAGTTTCACGTATTGGAAGAATAATTTTTAAAAGAACAGTGTAAAATTTAAAAAATGAAAATAATGAAGTACAGAATTGAATTAGAATTGGGGCTCACTCCACCTATTTTATTTTTAATAAATTTAATTTGTAAGTTACTTGATAGAATTATGCCATTTTCAGATATCGAAGGGTTTCAATCGTTACTTTTCTCCAGAGGGGTGACACATTGGCAAAATGAAAATTTCATGGGTTTTCGAGCAACTGCAAAAGGAATCATCGAATCAATCCCGAGGGAAAACATCCGCTAGCACTTAACTCGGGTTGGCGAGTATGAATGTTTCACGAGGCTTTAAGCCTACGATCGAAACTCTCGCAATCGCTTCAAAGGGATGCTCTTCCGTCGCGATCTCTTTCACCAGGGACTCTCTTAACGAGCTTACGATTCTTCCTTTCGACGAATATCGTTTCCACTTAAACATGAGTCAAGTCACTTGAACGCCTACGAGAGATTCCCTTTCGAATGGTGAAGATTAACGTGAAACCTCCTCAAAAGACTTAACAGCCTCTGTACGTTCGCTTAAATATGGCGACAGGGTGGTTCAAAAGAGATAAATACCATGAAAAATATGTCCCTTATTATTGGTCATATGAAAAAACTAAAGAATCACAAGAATGGTGCAAAGAATTTTTTCTTAAGATCATTTTTCAAGAAAAGAAACAAGATTCCAAGGTTATAATTCTTTTTTTTTAAATAGAATTATTTAAATGCCCCCAAAGTGTTTTCATTTAAATGCCTCACATTTTATATAAGGTGTTTCAAATTTGGTTAACGAAAATTGGCAACGAAACTTCTTGAAAATGCGAAAAGGAAAATATACGAAGATAAGACATGAAAAATGCAAGACTTACCCAGATCCATGAGGTGTTCCTCGCCAAAGTGTCGAGCTGCGTGAACATGAAGAAGCCCGAAAGCGAGCTGCATTCCCGTGGTGAGCAACAGGGCGAGGAAACCGGCGGCACAGACCAGCCACCCCCAACCACCCTCCGGATAGAAATGTGTTCTCATGCCAGAAACGTCTATGCCTTTTAAAAGAAAAGAATTTCTCTCGATACGATTCGACATTAAATTAGAATTTTTTTCAAATTTGCCAATTATAAAACATTTGATATTATAATTTTACAAATTTCACAATTATTGGATGTTTGATATACCTGGACGACGTAAAGTGGGCACACAACGATGAAGACTCCTCAGGTCACCCAACATCCAATTGTTGTTGGCCGCGATACCCTCATCAACGTCCATATAACGCATTCGAGTATCTGCAATAAAGAGAAGATAATCGTCATAGGGGCAGAGGAAGATTTAAAGGTATAAAATACCTTTTGGTGGTCGCTTAAATGCAAATTAAGAACCTTGCGCCAGATTAACCCTCAGGATTAGCCACGCCTTGTTTTTGCGTAATTCGACGATATATTTGCAAGACTTAATTACACCGAAAACTTGCTCAGAGACCAAGGAATTTATGGTGGGATACCGTTTTGTGTTAAGCCATGCGATAGAGATAAATAAAGTTTACGAGGAATTTGGTATCGTTAGGGAGGTGGAAAGATTAAAACGTTAACAAAAACGCAATTTAGAAAGTGTTTAAGATGAAATATTTATATTTTACTACTCTACCATTTTGAAATTGTACGGAATTAAATCCTCCAATTTTAATTTTACTTCAAATTCATGAAATAATATGATACTTATTTTAATTTATATCAGATTGCAAAGAACGTGTTACTCGCTAATTAATTCAAAAAATTTCTCTTCCAACCGTATAAAAATAAGTGGATTGCAAGAATAACAACAACCGGATCTCGTGTATTCTGAACGCACCCCCGACACGTAGCACCTGGCAACGCTGTAGCATTCTACAGACTGGGGATGAAACGAGTTGAAAGAAATGAAGAGGAAAAAGAAGAGTCAAGGGGGGGTTAGATAAAAGTGCTCATGAAAAGGAGATGCTGGTCGACGTTAGAAGGGATAAGACGTGGCAGACCTTTGGTCGGTGGTTCGAAAAATACGGTTCGATGATTCGAAGAATCTTTGAAATATCTTAAAAACTTCAAATATTAAATTTGATAAACTACCATAAATAACGAAATTATTTAATTTCAAATAAACTACATAGCTCGTTTGTCCTGAAATAAACGAGTTTCTACGTTTGAAGTGTAATTTCTAGAACGGTCTTTGGGGGGTTTAAGGCGACCCCTTCGAAACACAATACATTCGATGGAGTAGAATTGACTTTTTGTTCTCACTGACTCGTTCGTTCTCCTTTTATCCGCAGCCCAATTTATTAAGTTCGATCTTTGTGGATGCGAAAGAAAGACTGACTCGTGCAGTGTGCCTCAGTGAAAGGGCAGCAACTTCGATGCTGTATTGTTTGAAAAATTACCAGCTGATGTTGGTTGCACTTAAAGGAGGACAATCCTGGCCCTATAGAGACAAGGATATAAATTCTCGCCTTGATCACTGCTATAGAATCAAACAATAATTTTTAACCAACACTCTTTAGTTCTAACTCCAAGTTCTAACTCCAGAAGGAAAAGTTAAACATTTTTGATAACGAGCGAACAATAAACTGCAGCAGTGGCACAACTGGCCAGGAAATTCGAACAATTCGAGCAAAAGTAAGTTCAGATAAATCGGATAGCAGCAGAGATATATTGGCTGGCAGGCTGTGCTGGATTATAGTGGCCTACAAAGCAACGTGCCAGACGAGCACAGCATTTGTTCTGACTGCTGTTGTTTCCCTCGTTGTTCTTTCCTCGTAATCTTCTTCGAGTCAGCGGAATGCTAATCATCAGATCTGACATTTATGAACCGCCAAAAAGGAAGAAGAAAAAAAAAAAAGAAGAAACAACCATACGTAAACAGGGTCCAGAACTATTTCATAAAAGATCGATCGTCTTAAGCTTATGTCTGACCAATAAGGCTCGATTCTACTGAATTTTTAAGAACCTTGAAATTATACTAGTCTGTTCGAATTATCAATTGTACCTTGAAAGAAAAGTAGCTTTTGAAGCAGTTTGAAATGAAACTCATTAACACAGGGTGCAGCAGGCGGATAAAGAAGCGAGAGAAGAGGTTTTTTCCAAGGGGTGGCTGATAGTACAATGCTCCAAGATCGACTGTAAAGGTGGATTAACAAAAAGGGAGAAAAAAATATTTTTAATTAGCCAGCTTGGAGAAAGAGATAAGCGAAAAAGTCGCACCGAAAATGGGGCTTGGTCGTGAAAAATGCATTCGAACGAAGGCAAGTCTGCGTCAAAAGAAGACGCTGGAAAAACTGTGGACTTTTGCGGACGGTGGAATTATCGTAAAAGGAATTGTGATGCTTTTTCGGAACTTGTGAGATCCCGTAGCCACGGCAAATTATTGCTTTGATGCAAAGTTTCACTGGGAGTTCGTACTTGGAAATTTTTTGCTCCTGTTTCGTGCACGAAGTGAGACGGAGTGAAAAGATGATCTCTTGTGGTGGATACTTATCTTTTTACCTTGTTCTTGTTGCTACTTCTTTCGGTTAAAAGAAATTATGGAGAGTAGAGCTACTGAAAGTGTTCTTGTATAGTCTCGTGTAAGTAGTATGGATCGTGTTGATCAGGCAAGTTTGAAACAATTAATAATTTACAAAAAATTTCAAACTTTATTTAGTGTATACTTGTCTTTTAACTAAGTTTTAATGATATTATAGTTTATGTGCGCAAGAAGGCTCTTCATAAAATTCAGTAGAATAGAACCTTATTAGTCAGACAACCTTAAGATAATAAATTTTTTGCAAACAATTATCAACTTCTATGGTCTGTTAGTGTATAATTACCATTTTACTTTATTGCTGATAGGGGTTAATTATTTCGAATACAAAATTATAAGAAATAATACCCCCAAAATTTAGTAGAATTAAACCGTATTGGTGTTAATTCGTATTGTCGCGTGTCGAGTGTCAATCAACGTTTTAATAAATATCAGCTTGCCAACATGTTAATGATATACGTCACACCTTGATGAAATATTTGCATCACGCAAGCAATATACCTATCAGCTGATACAACATCCCCTGTTGTCTCTCCTTGAGACAACAGCTCGCTGTTGAATATTGAACGAAGTAAGGAAACTTTAGTAGAAGCGGATTAGGTTGGTCTCTTAGCGAGAAACGTTGCTAGAACGAAAACAGTGCTAACCAAGATTATACGAAAGTTTAGCGTGAGGTCCAAAAGGCGGGGGTTATTATTGTCGCGACTTTACGGGGAAAGTTGTGCAATCCGGCTGAAAGATATCCGGGGGAAATCAAATGAAATGCAAAACAGGTGTAGGACAAGTTAAATTAAATTGTTCCTCTTCGCAATAAGCAAACAATCAAATTTCTAAGAACTTTACTAAAAAAGAACAATATAGATATGATAAGATCTTGAGTTTCATGTTGCTACGTTGCTAGACTCAACAATTTCATGATCCCAGAATTCGCGATAGAGGTAGTTTTGAACTCGTGAAACTCGATAATAATGATTCCGGTGTCATAGAATTCGATAACGGTGACTACGACATCGCAGAACTCGATAGCGGTAACTTGAGAGTAATGGAACTCGATAGCGATAATTTCCAGGTCATGGGGTACGATAATGATGACTTTTGGGTCATGGGATTCAGTAATCCTAACCCTAAAATCATAGAACATAGCAATTGCAAGTTTACAGCTCTAGAAATCGTTAATGATGTGCTCAGAATCCTTAATGGTGTGAACGCCGTAGTCCCTGTGCTTAGTAGAGAGAACCCCGTAGTCCATGTGCTTCGTATTGTGGACCCCGTAGTCCCTGAATTTAGTAGTGTGCCACTTGCTAGTTTCGAGCCCACGGTCCCTGCGCTTACTAATGTGAACCCCTAACGTAGGCCCCGTAGTTCTTTCGCTTAGTAGTGTAACCCCCGAATTCTTTGAACTAGTTATGTGAACCCCGTTTCCTGTTAAGTTATACGACACACGAATTCATTAAACTTGACAACGGAAACTCCAAAATCTTATCATTTAACACGTTTGAAAGCAATTACAAGTTCTCAAACAGCTAAAAGCACTAATTACTCACCGCCATGATAAGAATTGCCCCGATGAGGAGTGTACACACCATTCCTGGGCTCGGGACAATGGCTCGGCGTGTAATACTGCATAGGATGATGTACGTAATTGTTCGGTGTGCTCGGCACATGTACCGGGTGACAGTGCAAACATCTTCGCGGTGTTTCTGGCATGCCCTGAGGAAAAGAAACTCCTGCAATGCATTGAGGAAAGTAATGGTCGATCGATCGAACCCGTGGTCGTAATAAATTGATGTATCCTGGAAATTAAACGTCACCGCATCTAACGGAGAGCAAAAGCATCGCAAACGGAATAGCGATTAGAAGATAAACGCTTCTATCGATTCTCGAGAACCTGATTGACGATTCGCCACCTTGCTAGGACTGAATCGCTAAAGGAACATCGATTTCTCAGTCTCTATAATTGAATACCATTTACTATTTCAGATCTCATAGAAACTAACCTAATATCAATGGTATTGATACTCCTTTCTGATATAATTCTTTTTTAATTTTAAAATAAATAAAATGAATATTATTGACGTGACTATTGTAGAACTAATCCTCAATTAAACTATATTTTCTTTTTATTACCTGCATGGAATGCTGTGATCGCAACGATCTTATCGAGCCAGCAGGATGAAGGGAGGGGACACTTCCGCTGAAGCTCATCGCTGAATTTCTGCATCCGCCAGGGGTGGACCAACCCCCGCGAACGCTGGCCGAAGTCCACCCCATCGCGCTGCCGCAATCGTCCACCAGCATTTTCACAGTAAATCCTGCATTTCTCTCTTCTCTTCAACTGGAATTCAACCCTTCGTAACCGAGGGTGGCTTGTCAGCTTCGATAATTCTTCAGAAGTTATTTCTTCACGAAGCTGGACACGTTAATTCGATGGTGTTCGAAGAGAATCATGTTTCGAAAAAGGGTTGTACGGTTATCTTCAGGCACCTGTAAACAGAAAGCACGTAAAATGCGGGTTAGAGAAGCAGAGAAGGCAGTAGCAGTCGATTAGAATCGTAATTAAGCGTGAGAGAATCGCAGGGGTGGAATAGTGGCGATAGTGGGAAATGGAGATACAGTTGGGACGGGATTAAAGCTGGATTTTCTCGATGGGGGTTTCGTGCAACGTTATGTTGTCGTTTTAATGTCCGTGTCATTTGTAACGTTAGAAATACGTTGCTCAAAACACTTGGAGGATTAGGTACTCAAGTGAGGGTGACAGCTTGGATGGATTAAAGTTTCATTTTCTTGTGAGAAGTCGTTTGAAACGTTTGTTTTGTTGTTCTGACGTTTAATTTGTTTATATAATAACATAAAACATACATTGCTGAAAGTAGTTGGAACATTAGGTGCTCAAATGAGAGAGGCATTTAAAGTCTCATTTTTCTTATGAAACGAGGGAGATAATTCAGGCATATTAATGATTAATTTCTTTATTTGTTAAATACTCGACGCACTCGTCGTTCCTGTTATATCAATTCAATTATAACTTTATCCTAAGATTGTTTTGATCGGCGTATCATTACCATTTCAATTCTCAATAATCCCCTCAGAACCGGTTAAAATGATTAAAATCGAATCAAAGCTAACGAATGAAAACATCGAAATGTATGTATATCCTTTCCACCAATTCTTTTTTCAAGCTTCAATATTGAAGTTCGATTGAAAAACCAAACTGAAATCCAGAACAGTTAATCCGGATTTTATTTCGCATTTAATTGCGAACAAACCAGGGGAAAAGGCACGATTTTCACTACTTACTATACCTGAAACGATTTCAAATGATTTTTCCACACTCCTGTGGTCAACGGGCGTAAAACGAGCCCGAATTCAAAGCTAAAATATTATGGTCACTAAATGAGAAAATAAAAAATACGCATCATATGCATAAATAAAACGAGTCTCGCGTATTAAAGGAAAGCAAATTCGGTTCGAACCGTCTGCCTTTACGCTCGGAGATTTATCACGAGAATATTTTATGCATACCAACTTCACGAACGACGATGCTTCACGAAATTGCACGTAGAAATTCGAATTTCATTTACTGCCTGCCATGGAAATAAAATACCTTTTAATTTTTATAGCAACAATAATGTTTAAAAAAAAATTCAATCCTTTTATAATTCAGAACTATGTGATTGTGACTTACTGCGGCTATGAAGATTATTAAATCCTTATGCTTATGCTTATGGCTTGTTACTCTCACTCGTGGAACGCGAGAACTTATTACAAATTAGAACACAGGAGAACGACTGTAGGTTGTATTCGCACTCTGTATTCTCCGCACGCGTTCCTAGAAAATGTTTCCACCCTGAAGTCGTACGTGGCAGTCCCAAAGGTGGTTGAAACGCTTACACACGCCTACATCATCGTCCGACACACGCTCGAGCATTTCGTTTCACCCTCGACAACGTTGGATTCAATCTAGTCGGATTATCCAGCTATCATGATTCCATCCAGCAGCGATCGGAAGTTCGTAGCCTGTGTCGATTCCTATCTTTCATCGCGTCTTCGATCAAACCACCCTAATACTCGAGTTTCTGCTACGAGGCAGGAAATGAACATCGACGATAAGTGTAGCCGGTGAAACAAATATCGTGAAACGTTTGGGTTACTACCCCTATGATACTCTGTTCAGATTAACCCAGAGTTAGTTATTATTCGAATAAAACAAAATTGAAAGGGTCTGGCAGGATAAGGGTGGGGAAACAACCTTAACCACAATTGCGGTTTATATTCATATCACATAATGCCCCCCTTCAGCCCCCTGCAACCCCTGGCAAGAGAAATATAGGGTAATCCTAAACTTTACAATTTTCTATTTTTGGAAATAATTTAATATATTGTATTTGCAAATAGCAACTTTAGTAGCTTTACTTTATATATTCTTTTCAAAATTTTAAGTCGATTATTAAGGATGGGAAAATTTGTGCAAACCCATGAAAAAAATTAAAAATAACTATCTAATTTTTATATAAAATGCTCAGGATGAAAGGAATGCAAGTGACATTTTAAAAAATTGTTGAATTAAAAACAGAAATTATTATTTAAATCGTTAGATATAATGTTGTAAATAAATAAAAAAAATGAAAATGAAAGTGTCGATGACATCCCTTTTTTTAAAAAATGTTAAAAAATTGTTTAAGATATTAATGGAGCTGATATTTAATACAACGTACTTTTAATGTGAATTTTCATATCGTTCAACCTTTTCCACGAGGAAATCAATTTTCCAAGGGAGACAGTAATACCCTGTCCACATTATTTGGCCCATAAGCTTCTCTAATCTTTCGATAGTGGCTCGGTTAGCGACGCATTAGAGAAAACGCTTATCGATTTATCGATGAAACGTCAACGAAGTTGAATGCCGGCCTGATCGAACGCGGAATACCAAAAGCGCGATATCAGCTCCAAGTTTCGAACTCAAGCATCTGCCACTTTTGTCTTCGAGGATCCCTCTAAAGCCAGAAATAAAGGAGGTTCGATTTCAATTTCTTCCACAAGTTGGATTGAATTCCGAATTAACCAAAGTTTATCCAGCAGCTTAAAACGATTACCTCTTGAACTGCGGAGTCTGGGTCAGTCGAGACCCAAACTTATAAAATACATACAAGGATATTAACCTAAAATTAAATACATAATTTTTAAACAAAAATGTCATATATTGGAAGAACAATTTGTAAAAAAAAGTAAAGTTAAGTTCAATTAAAATTGAGACTAAAATTGAGGGTCTAACAAAGTTGCATATGAGAAAACAAGTAGAGCAAGTCAATAATTAGTCCGACAGGTATAAAAATAGCAATCTTTGCTATACAACAATCTACTATCATATAAAATTAATTGAAAAGTCATTCACGTACAGTTACAGTGAAAAATAACAAACCCAACTTTCACATTTCACGCTTGATTTCCCAAATAAATCCGCATTTCACTCGTTTCAGGTGCATCAACAAAATAAAAATAAAATTCCAGTAACAGACTGTTAATTATTAACTTTTCTCATCAACCTGTTAATTTCATTGTTAGAAAAAAGGGAAATAATAAATAAAAAAGAACTCAGTAGAACAACTGACTGTTGGTGCAGGGAAAATTCGGATCTAGAATGGACGAGAGAGAAATGTCAGAGCAGGACAGCTCGCTCTGAAACTGTCGTACGGAAAAGTTTAAATGGTCTCTGGCCGTGAATGTCGGGCAACCGCGAATCACCATGGCGTTCGTTAAATTAATGCACACGACAGTTTGAAGGTACACGCTTGACGCCCCCTTGCTTTCCTGACAGCAATGCTCCTCGTTAAATCATTCCTTTTCTTTCTTTCCCCCTACCCGTTGTTCGTTAAATATTTGTCCACTTTATCATCGTTTGCCTCGCGAATGATAAAAGCTCACGACTAAATTCGCTTCATTTGGAGCTTCTTCAAATAAAACGTCCCCGCTTCCTCTATGCTCTTTAAATTCAAAGGATACGGAAGATATTTTGTAGAAAGTACAAATAACGAAAAATAATTTTCGAAAAATTCTAGGTAAGAGTAATTTCATTAAATTGATGAAGGAAAAGTTAAATTAAGATTAAGAAAAGTAAATTATAGATTATAGATTATAGATATTGTAGAATATAAAAAATGAAATTGTGCTTATGATAAGTTTAAAAAATGAATATTATATAATTTCCTTTGTGAAAATGGAGTGGACAAGAAGCATACAAGAGGCACTTCCAATCCATTTAATGGTTCGTCTGACCATTCACTGTTTACTCTACTCGGAGTGTTCGCTTCTACGTCAGATACACTTTGAGTTCTCTTTTGTCCACCGTTTGTCCATGGTTTTAGAAGATAATTAATCCATAATTTAACACATTAATTGTCAGTCTGAAGGTGTTGAAAATTTTATTAAATACGTCATTCACATATGACTGACATAGCAACCCAAGTGTTATCAAAAAATTGAATCCCACAGTCAACTGTTTGTATCAATATTTTGTATCCGCCGAATATTAGGTACATCAGGTTGCTCGTAACGGTGGACGAGAATTTGCTCTACAATTCGCCATGAGACCATGTCGGGACACACCGGTTTCAATGGTGCTGTGTTATTGATTTCATCCCACGGAACTCGACCTGTGTGCGTACAGAGGCTGCCGTTTACAACGAGTCAGCTTTCACGCTCTCTTCGTTTGAACGATGCTGGTGAAAAGCTCGGGACAGGCTGATTTTCATTGTGACGTTGACACCATGTTTGGAAGAACGAATATTCGTCCAACTAAAGTGTAATTCGTGTTAATTGTTCTCTGGGTGACCGACTAACTAATGAAGATTCAAATCATTTTGGTCATTTTTCATTTTATCATCTTCTTGCACAATATAATATATCTCCTGGTTAACTAACAAAGGGTTATTACAGAATTTTAAAATATTTTTATTTTTGTATTGAATACGTATCTTATATAATTGGAAATTAATGATTAAAAAAAATAATGAAAAGAAGATTTTTTGGTTTTTTCAATTTCTGAAGGGTTTTATAATAGCATATGGATTCTAGGCCCTGTTTAACATATTTTACAGATATTTCAAAATATCCTGTATTTTATTTCAACAAAAGTTCAACCATGTTAGTTTCTAATCTCCCGAGGAACGTCAGTGGTCCTGACAGGCGAGAAAGGGACATGGTTATCAGGTTGTTGGTCGAGGAAAATAGGCCATGGGCTCGCGTTCAATTTTTCCATCTTTTCCGATAAAGCATGGCACACGTTAACGCGCTTTACTTCTTTTCTTGACCGGCTGCAAACGTCGTGCAACGACGCCGTGGACTTCCGGTGCACTGGGAACCGACGCAGAGCCGATAAGCTTCCTTTAACCTCGTCTAACTGTCCTAACCATCCTTGCTGCCTTGTGTGTTCGAAAACGAGCAAGGATTTTATCAATCGTATTCTCTATCAACAAATGAAAGGCAAC